ACCTACATCGACGCCTCGGGAGGACAGACCGCCCGAGTCAGTGGTAAGGGGAAGGCGGAAGTTATCTGTCTTAAAAATGAAAGAAGCCCAACAAATTTAACCCAGATATTAACCTTAAGACCCCAAATTGGGGTTATAAGAAAGATGAAGTGTTAAAATGAAACTAAAGGCAGGCCGAAGAAGGGGGGGTTTCATAAAACGAAATTTCTAATTATCAATTATAGAAAAGAATTGGTTCCCACTAAAAAAAATACCAAAATATCCTTACTAATAAGATATATAACAAGATTAACAATAAATTGTATTTAGATAGTTTATATTAAGAAAGAATATATTAAAATTTTATATTCGTAATGAAAAAAAATAATTTAAATATAAATATATATAAATATATTATTCATTTAAAATTTTAAAGATAAGTTAAATTATTAATAAAACAAACCATACCCAATAATATATATAAAAAAACATTTAAAAAAATGTGGATAACGAATTGTAAGTAATCTAAGTAAAGGGAGTTCTTAAAGCAGTGGATCGTAATAAGTTAGGATTGATATGGAGAAGATAAAATATAGAAATAACTATAGTAATATGTTTAACAATATAAGGGTTTGATAATTAAAAAATAATAAAGTAACATCAATAGAAGTTTAAACCTCCCTCTATGACGACATTTCAAAACTAATTCATTCGTTTGACTTACTAGTTTGTTTTGATTATTGAATTTTATTTTTCTAATTTTCTCTTCTAAACATAGGTCACACCTATTCTTAAGACTATTAGGAGTATGAGCGAAAACTATAATTTTCCAGTCTATCTGGGGGTTCAGACCTTTCTCCTTGAATTCCCCAAATTTTTGGGGAAAGAGTTGTCTGATATTTTAATTTTGGGTTGGTAAAATAGTGCCTATGGGTGTAAAGTCTCTGTTTCCATTCCCCCAAGGAAGTTCCAATATAACCATTATGATTTAATTTATTTTCTTATCTCCCCGGGGAGATGGTTGCTTAGTATATCACCTTAGTAGATCTGCATTTGCCCTCAACTGGACAATTTTCACTATTTCTACAATTACAGGGGGTTCTATATCAGGTTTATTGTTTATCCCATAGAATTTACTTGAAATATAGGTTATTATGAGAATTGATAATTTTGTACAAGTTATTAATGCAGGAATAGCTGAGTTTGATCGTTTTCCTCTTGAAGATCTTTGTGGGTTGTTTTTGTTAAAATGTTTATTTATTAACTTCAGAAAATGCTTTCCGATATTAGTATTGGATAGTTTACAGAAGAGGTGAACAATATAATTTTTCTTTCTTTATTTCTATGCCTACCATTTTAGATACTTCCGTGTTACTTATAGGGGTTAAATAGGATAATTTATTTTTAAAGCCACTTTTATGGAGAGTATTCTCATACAGTTCTTTATTTTTATTAAAGATAATTATGTTAGACGAAAGTTTACTAATTTTAGTGACGACAGTAATAGTAATCTGTCTCACAATAGCATAGGGGTGGTTGGAACTAACATTAATATAGTTGAGGTTTCATTCTCTTTATGGCAAGATTTAAAGGTATTATCATTAGGGTTAAATGTTAGGGGTGATATCTAGATAATCTACTATTTTGAGGTTAGAAGAAATCTCAGTCCTAAACCCTAGTAATTTAAAGGCCCTAATTATTTTTTCTGTAACTTCGCAGTTAGTGGATCATTACTATTTGGAATGAAAATGAGTCCATCATCTCTATATAGGCCTACTAGGTTGGGATCAACAATTCTATTAAGTATATCTAAATATAATAACAAACTAGATCAGCAATCTGGGTTGAATCATATGTTCCCATAGAGACATCAAAATCCTCATTACGGCACTTAATCCATGTAGAATCGTTGAGTGTTAACAGTGATTTCCTAGCAGTTAAGATAACATTAGTCTCACCCTCCGTTATCTCCATATGGTTTTTCGCAAAGTTGATACAATTAACTGAGAGGTCCTTGAAGATAGAGGAATAAAAGTCTATTATATCAAACTTAAAGTTGCTCCTTCTTTATCCCTCATATTGGCGAACCATTTTATAATATTTGACGAATCCTTCCAAAGATTTAGCACAGGTTGTGATTAGTAATTTATCGGTTATTTTTTAATTATATATTTTTTAGATTAGACCACGTTCAGTTTTAGTCGGATTCATTAATCTAGACTGTATATTATTAGCGAAGTTAGGTATGTGGTCCTTAAATAAAATATAGGCATCTTTGGTATGGATCTTCCCTATTCTATCCGCAATATTTAAATTATTTGCTAATTGGGCAATCTCATTGTCGATCTCGGAGATCCTGCTGTTATATCTATCTCGTTTGTATATATATATATATATATATATATATATATATATATATATATATGTGTGTGTGTGTGTGTGTGTGTGTGTGTGTGTGTGTGTGCAATTAAATAAATAAATAAATACACACACATTATTTTATTGCTTCAAGTATGTTTTTGTGGATACTACATATTTCAGTAGACGGTCTGTTTTTATTTATTAAATGGTATATTTGTCTATTTCATCTACCGGCCTGAATCTACTCAATTATGGGTATCTAATAAAAATAATGTTTAAGCAATAAAATATAAATATGTTAGATTAATAAATGAAAAATCCAGTCCCCACCACACACACACACACACACACACACACACACACACATATATATATATATATATATATATATATATATATATATATATATATATATATATATATATATATATATCAAGGTGGACGAATAAAATTATAGCATGATACATAGTTATTTGTGTCTTCGTCTGCAATTTTCATGCAAATATTCGATTTAAGCGATTAATATTTACTATTGAATGAAGTACATTAATAGGTTTATGTAGAAAATTAATGGATTGTTGTGTAAAATGAAACCTTTCCCTCATATTAAATAGAGGATTTTGTTGTTATTTACTAAGCGTAGATGTGTCACATTTCATAGCCACTGATCTGCAAGACGAGGAGGTTAATCTTTGCAGTTCGTCGACGTGTGAAAAGCCAATTGGGTGCATTTATGAATTTTTTTTCAAATTACGTCTGCGCATTATAACGCCTGCATTCTCCCTGTTCTTCTCAGTCTTTCTTTTTTCTCTCTGCATGCAAACACAAACACACACACACACCCATATATATATATATATATATATATATATATATATATATAAAAGAAATATGTTGTAGTGGTTCCAACGAGAGAAAAGTATGTATATTAAAAAAAGAAGAGGGGTGCCGCAAACGTTTTTGGTTGTAATGTGGATTTATTGAGAAAAATATTATACTTTTTGTTTTACATAATTTCACGACACGTGTTTCTGGTCTGGTCTCGCAACCGTCTTCAGGTAAAAGTGGAGATTTTTACATATTATTAAAAATAATTAATTTTTCTTCATGTTCAATGTGGAATATTCTCGATATGAGACATTCTGTTTGTGTGTTGGCAATCCGAATTTTCTTTCTAGAATTGTCAATGAAGAGTTCTGCGTGAAGGGTCATAAAACAATTAAGGTTTGTCCAGCGAGTAGTTATCGGCATTTAATCTTTTAATGTTTTAGTGACCTCTATGTGCTCTTGGATCTGTTTCTATTTTGGCGTGTTCCTGTCAGCATGCGTGTATATATGCGTGCGTATATTTCCTACTACGAGGAATTCGTAAACTTGTTTTGTACTTATACACGCATACACACACATACGCACATACACACTATCCCACCACAAGTAGTCAGTACACACACACATATACACACATATTTCCCAAGCTACATGGAACCAGTACACACACATATATATATATATATATATATATTAATCCTCTCACCACAAGCAAGGCGATAATACCACTAAGACGCAGGTGTTACTGGGGAGATAGATAGATGTGAAGAGACTTAAATAGATTGAAGTTATATGTATATATGAGCAGAATGAAATACATGCATATATATAAATACGCCTGAGTAGATTACAAAAATAGATAAATAGATAGACAGATAGAAACGTTCATATATATATGTATAACTACATAAGAAACTGAATCAGATAGATAAATATGAAAACACTTAAATGTATTGATGTTCTATAGATGAGAACAAACTGAAATATATCAATTCATATATTCGCTTGAACAAACTGCAAGAATATATATATATATATATATATATATATATATATATATATATATATATATATATATACAGATAGATAAGAAAAGTGAGATAGATAGATAGATAGATAGATAGATAGATAGATAGATAGATAGATATGGCGTGGGCCTAGATGAAAACCTTTCAGAACACTATGTATACACGCGTGCGTGTATATATATATATATGTACGGCTGTCTTTGTGTGTGTAAAACGACAAAATAAATACATAATGGAGAGCACAAATGAGAAATAAAATAGGCAATGAAAGAAAGAACCCGGAGAAATGATTAAAAGTACAAAGAATTATTGCAATAAAAGAGAGGACGGGAAAAGTCAGGAAGAAAGAAACAGTGAACGCAAGAGGCAGTAGAACTGATTAAAAAAAGAATTCAAAGAAATATTGCATTAAAAGAATGAACAAAATAAATGCAACATAGCCTAGAATAAAGAAAAGAAATAAATCTAACAAATAGTTAAGATTCATGAAATAACAAAAGAAAAAAAATAACAAAAAACAACGAAGCAAATATTAATCAGACGTAAAAATTTAAATTCTTAAAAGATGGCTGAATCATTGAAAGAGTGACAAAAATGTCATTTCTTATCATGAAAGTTATTTTCTGCTGTTAGAAGTTTGGACGAATAACACTGATGTCCTTTACTCGCTCATGTGACTTCAAAATTTCTTTCAAGGTGACTATTTTCCCCTATCCCCCATTGGTCTGCATTCCAACCTTTTCAGTGATTTTTTTCTTTTCACTCTTTCAAAACTCATATTTCGTTCCTTTACGATTTTAATCTATGCTGCTTTTTCAACAATTCTTTCAGCATTCAGTTTTATGTAGAGATATTGCGAAAGATCAACAAAATCGGAGTCTGTACATCGATCAACCATCGCTACAAGGATTGTGTTATCTATCTATCTATCTATCTATCTATCTATCTATCTATCTATCTATCTATCGCAGCCTTTTCATATCTATCTATCTATCTATCTATCTATCTATCTATCTATCTATCTATCGCAGCCTTTTCATATCTATCTATTTACACTGGCCCAGAAAGAAAAGTAACGTGTTTAGACACTCCTCTATAGTTTCTAAAACACACAAACATACACACTCACTACGCACACACACGCACGAGCGCACACATACACACACAGACATAAACATATATACATATATATATATATATATATATATATATATATATATATATATATATATATATATATAATATGTGGTGCAATTCAATTTATATTACATGAATCATTCATCCAAAAAGTAGATTAGTAAAGTTAATGATATAAATGGCGAAAAACATCCTTGCAAACAAATTTATTAAAGTTGCATTAACCTACGAATCACTCGATGAATGTTATGTTCCTTGTTTTTAATAACTTCAAGTTGTATAAGGCCTTTTTTTTATTCTGCTAGTACTTTCGGCTGTATATTCAGTCATCCACAGGCATGGAAATTTTTTTTTTTTGTTTTTTTTTAGTAGATCTAGGTAATAGCGGACACGAAAAATTAAATGCGAATCGAAATATGTTTTTGTTAGAAATATCTTATTTTTAACGGATAAAAACTTATGGAGCGTGCAGTCGCAACGCTAAGGTTGAATTTTTTGAAAATTTAAGAGAGTGCTATCAGCCATTTATATCATTAACTTTACTAATGTACTTTTTGTATGAATAATTCATGTAATATATATATATATATATATATATATATATATATATATATATATATATATATCTGAGATGAGGTATTATGTACATTTACATTATTCGGTCTATTGTCCTCATCTTTGTTGCCATATTTATCACAACGTTTCGGCCGCTATACGCTCCGGCCTTCTTCAGGTGGTTGGACTGTCAAACTGAACCCTTTATTTCGCTCGCTGGCGTAGACTGTTCTAGTTCCACGTACCATATCTAATTGATGTCAGTTATCAGTTATCTCCTGTTAATTCACCTCTCCAAGTTCTCCACTGCCTTAAACAGGTATTGAACTCACAACTCTTTGTGTCCTTTCACTGGATCTAACCAACGCTTTTATTTTTAAGGACACATGGCACAGTAGATAGATTTTAGATTTCTTGAATAGGAATAGGACTTACAGTCAAACATGACCTGAATAGTTCCTTTTAGAGTAAAACACTATTCTCGAAACATCTATATCTGCTCTGTATCGTATCCTAACGTAAAATAAGTCCTACGTATCTGAGCAGTTAGGCACGACAGACCCATAGTGGGTACAGGTTCAATCCTGCCAGGGGTGGAGGGCGAATATTTTTCTGATAAGATTTCTCAGATATTCAGTCCAATAGATGGAGTTGGATAAAAAGAAAATACTGTTTAAAAAAACAGCGCTTCTACTCGAATATGATTATTAAAAATAACGTTTAAACAAAATAAATCACAGACACACACACACACACACACACACACACACACATATATATATATATATATATATATATATATATATATATATGATCAAATATAGTTTTAAGCTATCCTATATTTATGACCAAAAGTGCTCAGTATCAGGGATAGAACATATGTAAATATAAAAGTGGACAATGAAGTCAACTCTGAGCGGTGACAGTCTGTTTCATGCTTAAAGATTGCACTCAAGCATAAAACAGACTATCGCTGTTTACATATATATATATATATATATATATATATATATATATATAGAGAGAGGGGGGAAGAGAGAGATCTCATGTGAACATGGTTTCTTTTGCATACGTGGGGCGCAGATTCGAATCTTGCCTGACAGCGTATCTTTTTTTTCGACGCTTCATATATATATATATATATATATATATATATATATACACACATACCTGATCAAAAATTTAAGACCGCTTGAATTTTTTTTATAAAAGACTGTTTGTCATGGATACATTATAAACTTTTTCTTACTTAAGGTTACTAATTCTATAATCTAAAAGGTTATGGAGACAAAAAGTTATAATCCTATCAATTTATTCAGAAATTGACATTTTTATAAAATGAGGCGTCTTACATTTGATCAAAAATGATAAGACCAGGGGGTATAAATTGTTAGATCTTGGGTAATTCCAATGTTTTTAGTTCAGTTAGAGATTAGCAATAAAGGTGTCACCATGCCTAAAGCAAGCAAACTTAGAGAAGTTGAGCTTGCTCGAATTCTAGATTTCCATAATCAAGGTTTGCCACAGCGGGCGATCGCAGCTAAGGTAAATCGCAGTAAAACTGTGATTTGTAACTTTCTAATGGACAGTGCGAATTATGGAAACGCAAAGTCTAGTGGTAGGCCCCAAAAAACTTTCTCCCGCATTGAGTAGGAGAATAAGACGGGTTGTTGTGAAAGCCAGTGAACTTTCTTCTAGTCAAATTAAGGCAGCCACAGATGCTGATTGCAGTCTAGTAACCATCAGACGAAACTTACGACAAAAAGGCATGGTAAATAAAAAGCGCAAACAAATTCCTCGTCTGCTTCCACGTCACAAAGTGAACAGTTTAAGGTTTGGTCGTGAATACCAAACATGGGACATTGAGAAGTGGAAGAAAGTCCTGTTTTCTGATGAGAAAAAATTCAATCTAGATGGTCCTGATGGCTTCCAACGATATTGGCATAACAAAAACATGCCCCCTGAAATTTTCTCCACACGTCATAATGGTGGAGGGTCCCTAATGTTATGGGGTGCCTTTTCTTACAGAGGGACGATGGAGCTCCAGGTGGTGCAGGGTCATCAGACATCAGCTTGTTATGTTAGCATGCTACAAAAAGCATCGTTGGTGACGGAGGGCCATCGTTTGTGTGGGGTGGATGGTTATTTCAACAGGATAATGCTGCAATCCACGCTGCATGCCGGACCTTGACCTTTCTACAAGTAAATGGTGGTCCAACTCTTGAGACATCCTGCATACTCACCGGACTTGAACCCAATTGAAAATCTTTGGGGATAGATGGCAAGAGATGTTTATCGAAATGGCAAACAAAATTCAACAAAAAATGAACTTCGTGAAGCTATCATCAGAAGCTGGAGAAATATTCCTCGCAGTTTAATGGAAACACTAATTTCAAGCATGCCCCAAAGAATTTTTGAAGTCATCAAAACCAGTGGAGGTAGAATTCATTATTGAATTTGGTTGTTAAATGTTTTCGTACACTTTTCGTACAGTTTCGTAGAATTTTTGTCTCTGGTCTTATAATTTTGATCAAGTGTAAAATGCCTCATTTTATAAAAATTTCAATTTCTCAATAAGATGTTCGGATTATAATCTTTTAGATTATAAAATTAGTAACATTAAGTAAGATATGTTTAAATTTTTTCCATGAAAAACAGTCTTTTTAAAAAAAATTTCAAGTGGTCTTAAAATTTTGATCAGGAGTATATATATATATATATATATATATATATATATATATATATGTGTGTGTGTGTGTGTGTGTGTGTGTGTGTGTATCATTAAGTTAATAGACACTAAAACATTTCCGTTTAGAGAGTAGAATATTAATGATGAAGCTGATATTTTGAATACACGTATTAAATATTATCAGCAGTAAATACCTGGATAGACATTTGTATGATCTTTGGATTAACAATCCTAATCTCCGGCCAAGAGCATAATCCTGACGGGTGAAACAAATTATAAAGACACATCTTACTGGCATGCATACATACCTGTAGCATAACCGAAACATTTTAAGATTCTCTTGCAATATAGGCAAAAGTTAAAGACTGAAGTAAGAATTTACTGTTCTAGAAGGTTTTTATTTACTGGCATTGGTCAACAATTTCAAATCAGCATATATTGTAACTGTAAAAAATTATGTCAAGATTATCTGCTCTCCTTTATATATATATATATATATATATATATATATATATATATATATGTGTGTGTGTGTGTGTGTGTGTGTGTGTGTGTATGTATATATAAATATATATATATAATAGCAGAACAGACGGGGTTCTATAGCCTTGGATGGCAACTGGTCTAGGAGAAGGACAACTCTGAATTCAAAACCTGCGGAAGGTCGTTTGGGAACCTTGTGGCATTCGGTGCACCAGGTCTCTGTATTCGTCCCTTCAAAAAGTGTGGATGGTCCTGCACGAAACCTTCACCACTATAATCAAATCTTATGTGCTGGTATCGGTTTCCTGAAAACTGATATGCTTGACCCTCATACGTCGAATCTCGACGGGAGAGTTTTTTATATATATATATATATATATATATATATATATATATATATATATATAGATAGATAGATAGATATAGATATAGATATAGATATATAGATATATATTGCTTGTGCAATTTAGTTTTTACGACGATTTCTCGCGAATACAAAGTAAAATTGCCTATTTCTTTTGGAATCCACATACGAGCAATAACAAAAAGTGTTTCTTCTTTTTTCATATGCTATCGCTCTTCACAACTTTGTGTCTTCTGTTCCTCTAAGTAATTATTTACCCTTTACCTTCCTCTTTGGCCTTCTTTTGATATTCATTCAGAGAAACTCGCGTACTTTTCTCCCTGTCAGTGTTAAATTCTCAATGTCATCTTTCCTCATGATGCGTCCCCGAATTATCAATTACGTTTAAGTATTAGCTTCCTTGTAAAAAATATTAGTAAACTTAAAAGACATTTTTAAGATGGCGCCGGTAATTATTATACTATATATATATATATATATATATATATATATATATATATATATATATATATATATATTGATTAGCATTTAGTTAAATATAAACGAAACTTCTTCGTTAAGGATTTTATATCTTATTTATCTATATATATTTAAATTTCAACTGGAAACGCACGCACACACACACACCTATATATATATATATATATATATATATATATAAAGAGAAAGAGAGTGACATTGAGAGAAATAAGTAGGGAGAGATAGTGTGTAGAGGACATAGACTCTGTGTATAAATTCTATCTATCTATAAACGCTTTATATTTCCCTATCAATAAAGTAAATTTGAAATACTTTAGAATTTTCGGAAATTAGTGCATTTTCAATAGATTTTAATAAATTACTTCTTTTATCAAGATCAGATTAAGTCGTAAATATGGTCAGATCTATTGCGATGAATGACTAATGCTTTGAGTGTATTCTTTTGTAAAAGATCCCACTTATGTTCATATAATCTAAATTTAATCTAAATGATTATCTCGCTATATATCTTTTAAACATACATTTAAAAACATGTTTAAAACACAAACACACAAACACACGCACGCACACACATACTCACATTCTCCCGTTGATTTCGACGTATGATGATCCGACAACCTCATTCAACTTTTATGTATGTAACACTTCAGTCCCGATATTGACCTGCACTTATTGTGCAACAGTGAGGATCTCGGGACAAACCCAGAGGAAAATTTACTCGCGCTTTTTGCCGTTGTATTTTATCTCTTAAACGCTCAATATGACTAATTTCGAAATTTCTGATACAACTCTAGCACAATTATTTCTATCCAGGACTCTCACCTCTAAGTTAGTATGACGCCCATTAACAACTGAGAGGTTACACTTGTGCTTATATGTATACCTGAGACACGGCCGTCCAACAGTCTTTTGTTCACTACCAAGCTGGCTATACATGAGGACATATATGTATGCATTGTATTGTATTGTATATGGGTATTAATTTCATGTTTTCCCAGCTAATAAAAGAGTTTCCTATCTCTGTGTGATTTTTTAATCATTGATCTTTTATTATTTGCCAATTTATACTTTCAGAGCAACCATCCAGTCATCAATAAATTCTGTTTTTATCTTCATAATTCCCTTTCATTGTAGTTATTAAAACGGAACATCGCACAAATTTAAGGACTATGACAGTGTTGTCATTTGCCGCTAATTGATCGTCGTTACTCGTCTCGCTTAGTAAATCAGTCACTAACAAACCAAGGTCAACGTTGCTTAACTTTGGGGCCGAGTGGTTAGAACGTTTGCTTTCTGACCATGAGACCGAGGTTCGAATCTCACCACTGTTGATTTATCCATCTGGACACGGTACCTTTGGAAAGTGCCTGAAAAACCATAAGTTGACCCAAGCCTTGTGAGTGAAATTGGGTAGACGGAGCACGCAGGGGACCGTCGAGAGAATTTGCTGGCGTTGTTCATGATAGATAACCCACTCTCTTCCAGAAACTGTAACTAAGGTCTGATCAGCATAGTTGCAGTATAAACCACAAATATACCTGAGCGAGCGTCTGCAGTAGGGATTGGCTAGCCAATAGTAGACGGATATCGTTGAATACGAGTGGTCAGCAATTATGTATGTATACCATGGTTTTACTTTGTGTTTGTGTTCGTTCTTAAATTTCAAAGTTATTGCCAATCAGCATTATTTCTCAAAACGCATACGTCTGTTGGAAACCATTTAAACCTGGGCATTAATTTCATGTTTTCTCAGCAAATAAAAGAGTTTCCTATCTCTGTGTGATTTTTTAATCATTGATCTTTTATTATTTGCCAATTTATACTTTCAGAGCAACCATTCAGTCATCAATAAATTCTGTTTTTATCTTCATAATTCCCTTTCATTGTAGTTATTAAAACGGAACATCGCACAAATTTACTGACTATGACAGTGTTGTCATTTGCCGCTAATTGATCGTCATTACACATGTCTCGCTCAGTAATCAGCTATTAACAAACCAAGGTCAACGTTGCTTAACTTTGGGAATCATGTGAGAACTGTTGTTTCTTTTATGTGCTACGGTTGTAAACTCTTGACTGGTAAACAAATGAAACAAATTGGCCATCGACGTACCGTAGCGCATATCACAAACAATGACGGCTTAATGGTCAGAACATTACTGTTCTTAAATAAACAAGTTTGTCACAGTGAATGGCTTGTTGAACGTCGCACTGGCCTCTAAACGCAACAATGAGAGAAAATAAACTCACTTCATGAACACTGAATGAAAATGGAAATACAAACACACACACATACACAACCCACACATGCTTGTGTGTGTGTGTGTATGTATGTATTTGGGCAGCAATCCCTCTCTGATACAAGTTTCGATAAAAACAACTGACAAGGTACTGCAGTTATGTTTTTTATTTAATTTTTCTTGTGTTCTTATAATTTTCTTTTTTTTCTGGACATAAATTATGTATGTCCGAACGCTTTCGGCTATTCTTTTAGCTATTATCAAGGATGATTTTACTTTTAACTGAATGTATGATTTTTTTATGCATGTATCTAAAGTTACAGGAATGTTTTATTTTCCAAACACGGTCAGCACACTGTGACCGTGTTCATAGTTGATGTTATTGAGTTTTGGCTTTTTCTTTTTTTATTATTAATGCTTCCGTTATTTTTTAACGAAACTTATATATATATATGTGTGTGTGTGTGTGTGTGTGTATGCGTGTGTGTGTGTATCTGTGCAAGTATATATAAAAAAGGCTGTATAATGTGTATATGCACGTGTGTGTGTGTGTATGCATGCATGTATGCACAGATATATATGTGGACACGTATATATGTACATGTATGTACAATTATACCAAAAAAAGTCTCTAATATAAGTATATGCTTGGGTGGATATACGGGAAGCGATGGATAAATTGTCGTGTAAATTTCACAAAAATAAAAATAACACTGACAACTCATTTTAACAGATATATTTATCAAAATTACAAAAAAATATAAAATACTGTAGTGTAAATTTATTCAATAAAATCGCAATTAGCATCAACCATGGATTCTAGATGATTTCGGAATCTGCTACAACTTTTCTGGATAGTCTCCCTGTTTAAGTTGAGGAATGCTGCCATAATCATTTATTATAAAAAGAGCATTTACTTAAATATTTGTATCTACAAAAATAACATATAAACAGCAAATACATTAAAATAAATGTCGGACTTATTCCCTTTAATAATAATAATAATAATATATATATATATATATATATATATATAATGTATGTATAGATGTACATATTGAAAAGGGTATATAATATTTAATGTGCGTAAAATATATTTAATATGCATAAAAACATAAATTCGATACATATTTTTCGTTACACATGACGTCACTTGGAATTGATTCTAATTCCAGTTCCAGCGATCTAAAAACATCAGGATTTAGTCAGAAAATATTATTTATAATACTGACAGCACCCAGTTCTTGATAATGACTGAAATCTAAAGTATGTGAATAAAACAGGGAAAATATTAACTTTAGACAGCATTCCGTATATTTGCCCTTCTTTAAGTTTTATTTTATTTCTTTTTCTTTATTTCTTTCTTACTACTATTTTTTTTTTCTTTATCATTTCACAATTTTTTTTTATATTCCTTTTCAATGTTCTTCCATTTTACTCGGTTGATTTTCTTCCTTTTCAATTTTCTTTCATCTCATTCTTATTTCATCGATTTTTTTCTCTTTTTTCTTTCTTTCTTTATACTCATTTTTCTCTTTCTTCTTTTCCTTTTTCTTCATGTGCTTATTTTTTATCTTTCTTCCCATTGTTTTCTTTTTACTCAGTTGTCTTCTTTCCTTTTCAATTTTCCTTTTTTCTTTTGAATTTTGTTTATCCTCGAAATTCTTTCCTTTCTTTCTTTTTTACGTACGCACCTATCTCTTCCATTTTACCGATTCATCCTACACATCAACTCCCTTCGACATAATCTTTATTCCATTTCATTTTGTCTTTCATCCATTTTATGCCCAGCTGCCGTTTGTTTTCATTCATAATTCAAACACTTTTAATTCCCCGTCTTTATTTAATACCAAATCCCAACGTTTAATTTAATAACTTCCGGTAACCAAGCCGCTAAGGTTTTATGTGCCATCATTTTCCCACTTGTTTTATTTATTTTCCTTTGCAATTTAGTAAATTAAACGAAACAATGTTATACAGATTGGAAGATATTTTGCAAAAATCTATTTTGAATGATTTTGAAGCCCTTATTTTAATATGATTAAATTTTTACTGATCGAATTTAGAGTTTATTCTCTTTTATATACCATGTCCCTTCGGGACGTAAGTGATCATGGTTCGCCACAACTTCCTATTTTGTGTCCTTAACTTTTAACTCGTTATCAGCTCTCTTTGACCTTGTTCTTCCATCCATGCACTAAAACTCATAGGTCACCGAATGTTTTCCCTGCTTCTCTCGCCTTCAGTATGCCAGGTGATTGTTAGATTCTCTAAGCCTTCTTTCTTCATATGTATCGCAAATAGTCAGTCATCTTTTTCCTTATTTTAAGTATCAGTTTCTTTGTAGTTCATACTGTCCTTAAATCATCTTTGTTCGTTAGTCACGTGTTATGTCCATGGCATTTTCAGCATTTATCGATAGAACCATATCTCTAACGTTTCAAGTTTTTTTTTAATTATTTCACCACAGGCCAGGCAATGAAGCCAGTAAGACACAAAGGCTTACTGAGTGATAGAGAGAATGAGAAAAAAATTATTAAGGGGAGAGAACTATAAAAGAAGAGGAAATAAGAAAGCAAAATATAACAATTGACATTGAATTTAAACTTTTAACGGTCAAAGTTGACTGGAAGGCAAGAAACCGAGAGAGAGAGAGAGAAAGAGAGAGAGAGAGGTCCACAAGAGTGAGGTACGATAGAAGAAACTGTTAGCATAGAACTTACGGTTGTATCTAACCATTTCATCTGTAAAATGATGAGAGCTTGCTGTCAATCTAATGCTGCGATTAAATTCGTAAAGTCTAGGTAGCAGAATAATTACCATGAAAATATTTATAGAAAAGACACAGGGCATCTACTTTACAGCAGTGAGAAATGGACTGTTGCCGAGATGTCAGGTCACGACCACTAACATTGCAGCTTCTTCTTTGTATTTTTATGTAGACTGCCTTAATATACTAAATACTAAATAAATATCTGCGTAGATATTGTCCAGTATTTACTGTTAAGTAATAAATTAGATATTACATAGCATTTCAAGTCTGTTCTCTGTTTCTAACTAAATTTCCCTAAGTCTTAATAATTTTCTTAGTTTTACCATTCCTTTTTTTTAACTTGGGATGCTACCTCACATTTTTGAAAGGCATTCTGCTACCCTTTTGAGGACGATTCATTTTTTGGCCAGAAGAATTTCTTCGATCTAAATAGAACGTATAGAGCGCGAAGGCAAATATACAGAGCACTATCCCCCAAAGTTCAAGAAATTTGAACAAACTAAACATTTTCTTAATTCGTCAATTTAGTCAGCATATTCCGACTCTTATACATTTCTTGAAAAGAACTTCAACAGAACATAAAGAAGCAAGTTTTCTATCATGCTTTCCTTTGACGATATCATTTTCCACTTTAGCTTTCCCATTTTTTTTTTATGAGTAAGAGATTATTCATCAAGCTGTTGTTAGCCTGTTTGTCATGTACGGGTAGTGTAGCAATTATGGGTGCGGAATCGGCAAGCTGAATGCAAATTCCAAACTAATCTGTTACATTCATTTTCGCACTAATAGCCTTTTAAAGTGCATGAATTGAATCTATCTTTTGCTCCCTGCTATGGGTTAAATAGCAGGGTAGATTGGTAATTCCAAATCGTGGAGAAGAGAGCGGGGAACAACAACACTATCGTCAGCAAAAAGCCATGGCAGTTCGCATAATAAATTGAATGTATGGATCACCTACGTCCTGAGTAATGATTATCTACTTTATTATTAAAAGAAGTCAGGTAAATTAACCTGCTTCTTTTCTGATAATGTATTTTCCGCCATTATCAGAAGGTGGTGTTCGAACCTAGGGAAAACGCCACAGTTTCCAATACTGACTTTCAAAGTAAGTATGCTATGTACAATCTCCCAATTTAATTCCTCGATGAGATGCTAAAAGAGTGGATGCAGATTTTTGAGAAGTGAGAGAAAAGAAGTCAAGATAAAAATTCAGAATAAAAATGCCTAATAAGATTTTTTTTAAAATTTATGTCTAACTTCACAAAACATTCTTTGCTTCAGAATATTGTCTATGTTATCTTATAGAGATCAATTTGCTCGTATCAGAAATGGAAAAACATGCAAAAAAGAGCGTATGTCGATAAATGCGCTTCTAGAATCACGACGACACAGTTATCTCCCTGCATTTTTAGCCTTGTGCCATACTAAGCTAAACTAAATCTCGACAAGTCAGTGTAATTATCATGGAAACGAAGTGGAAGGCAAGAATTCTTTTTAAATGATATTAATTATTACATTCGATTAGGATCAATTTCTGGTCAATAATTTGAACATTAGAAAATGAAAAAAAAAGTAAGACATGAATAAATTAGATGAAATTATTCTTGGATTCTTTTTTTTTAAATGACAATTGTACATTCGAAGAAGAAATAAGAACTTAAAAGGCGAACTCAATAAAAGACGTCGATAGTTTAAAAAGAAAAGACGGGCTGTTGGTTCAAACATAATCGGGAATTTAATTAATTCCCTATTAGTCTTTCTTTTCTCACTTTAAAGCCCAGATCCCAGAATTTCATTGCAGGTGTTTTATCATATAATCACCACTCCCCAACTGAAAAAAAATATCGATCCTGTCGTCATTACTACAGCCTTTATTCTATTTGATGGCGTATAAGAGTTTCTTTCTATTTCTATTTAATTTTAAAAAGGATTGCGGAGTACAAATAATCATAGTCTATGGTGTCGAGTAAACATTTTGAGCGATTCTTTCGAGAAAATCTACGTCTTTAAAATACGTTAAATGTAAATGTGTTTATACTATTTGATGCAACCAGTTACATTTTAGAATTGACTCCCGCCTGTTTGCTTCCCTGAACTCTACAATCTTAACCTTTTCAATTCAAAGATCAGTCGTTATCTAGCCTATTTATCCTTATCTTTACTTCCTACGACCTCCTTTTTCACTCACTCATATCACACCTCATTCATCATAAAAATCTAAACACAAACACTCTACCTTGAGTGGCTCTCGTCCCTTGTACTGGATGTTTAATGTAAAAAGTTGTATACAAGTGTTAATTTACAACGCCTGAATTATCATTAATCTAGTAGAACTTTGCTTATGAAAAATAAACGAGGTCTTGCTTACCAGTTTGCAGCTCCATTTCTAGATCCAATCCAAAATTAGTCAGCAGGAGGCACCATATCAGCCAGTTTCGGCCCCTTTTCCTCTACAGCATTTTAATATGCCGGGTTCGTCCATTGTGGAGGCTTCTTCTGGATCGGTGCTAATTGGTCTTTCCCGCCATCATTTACTCTCCAAGTAACTGTCATCATCATCACACTTTAACCAGCCGAAGTGCGATGCTTTTTTCCGCTGTCACCACGCTTTTTATCTCCTTTTTGTTGTAGCGAAATCGTCTTCTGGGCATATGGACAACATCTTTTCCAACAAAACCACGACATCCCACAGCTAGATGGTAACTCTTCATTATAGATCACCTGAGGCAATTCTTCCAACCGTTTTGCTATTGTACCTTTCTGATTCCGTAGTAGACTGTTAACATCAGCATCAACCTTTTTCTACACATCTTCTTACGATGACTTTGGCCACTTGATTTTGGGCTTTCAGTTGCTGATCGATTTTGTCATGCCAGATTCAGTTATAGTCTGATTGCCACTATGGTTAGACTCCAGGGCCGCTCTCATATTCATCTTACAACCTGTTGGTTCGCGTCGCTGAATTCCACTTAAAAACCGTTGTTTTATAACGTTATGTTGGAAAGGCTCTGCAATCTTTACAATGTTTGAGAAATTCGCCTGGATTGCATTTTGCGTAAATCTAGGAAGATTTGCCACCAAGATTCTAGAAATATTGCTTCAGAGATGAACAGAAGTTTTGGAGTGGTACAAGTGTTTCAAGGACAGTTTCTAGATGATGTGTTCAAGACTAACAATCCCCTCTAGAACACCAAATAATGTGAATAAAAATTGTGATCTCATCCATGAAGACAGAGGCTGAAAACGCCACCAGTTCTCTCACATGTTTAAGATCAGTTATGGAGTCTGCCAGAACTAGAACTCTCCGATGTTGCCTCGTACTTCTTATTTATGCAACCCTGTATTAAACAAACGAGACAAATATGCAGCATATGACACACCTCAAATGATGACAGGAAATATTTAACAATCATTGTCATACCAGACCATCCGTTAAGTTAGATGAATGAGCAAGTTAACCTGGATGATGAGATGCTAGCCATCAGGTGCAGATCCGCTCGTCAGAAGATGCCAGTGGCTATCCCAGATAGGCAAACAGGTGGAAGACCCAGCTGCGTTTGGGACATGCACACGTGAGATGTCCGATAACAGGAGAATATAAAGGGTGTTTCATTAAGACGGATCAAAGTCAGAAGTAAATATATCAGTGTTATTGGTGAAAATTTCTTTATTTATTTCTCTATTGGATCATGTTATTTAAGTCATGGTAATTATAATATCGCCCAAATGTCCGCCAAGACACACCTCCACTCGATGGTCAAAATTTTTGATGACGTCTCTGCATAGTTGCTCCTTGATCTCACCAATATGCTTTATTATCTGATCCTTTACCTGTTGAATGTTGTTGGCTTGTTGGCATAGAATTTACTTTTGAGATTACTCCAAAGGAAGAAATCTAAAAGCGTCAAGACGCTCGATCGTGGTGGCCAATTGACTTCGCTGTTTCGGGAGATTATGCGACTTGGGAACTTCACAGTCAAATTCTATAATTCAAAGTCCATTTTCGTAATAAGCTTGGATAACTTTAACACGTTGTTTGATTGTTAATCTTTCCATGGTTGAAATTGCCAAAGACTTAAGTTGTTAAATCTGAAAGAAAAAGAAAAAAATCATTAGACGCTTAAACTTAATTCACATTTAAAATCGGTCCAAGTTATTGGAGCAGCCTTTGTAAGCGTCCATCCGAGGGGGAAACGACAAAGTGAGTCTCTTACATCCTTGTGAGAAAATGAATACAAGCTCAAAAAAATCCCCAATGTCACTTACACACTATCCGATATTAATTCAGAAGTCCGGTGTTGAATAAACAATCATTTTAAGTGTAACATATTTCATCTATAACTTTATAAATACGTGGTACTAAGATAGAATAAATATATTTCTGTTCACATAACATTCTTTGTTAAATAATTCATCAAATGCTTTCCCATCCAAGAAATGGAATTGCCTGTTTTGACTCCCATCAAAAAAGAAAGAAAAGAGAGAGAGAGAGAGAGAGAGAGAGGGAGAGAGAGAGAGAGAGAGAAATGTATAAACAAAAACCGAAAACCAAATAGTGAATGTACATCGGTGTACGTAAATTAATTATTGCCCTCACTGTTGTTGTCATGATCATCATTGTTATCATCAGTTGTCCTGATAAGAAATATCACCACTATCTTCGTATTCGGAACATATCAGGCATTCGTTTCTTTCGCTCGATAAAGGTAGCGCACTGTTTGGTCTGAATTCAGTCCTTTGGTGGTAAGACCTCTCCAGGACACATGGAATACGTGCGTTGCTCAGACTACATGGCTCTTCGGCTGTAGCGACAAGATCAAAAAGGAATACAGGGCGTTACATTTGGAGACAGCTTAACTGCAGGAGTTACCGGAAAAGGTTGTCAGTGTTGGCAGCCAGTCGCCTTCGGAGCTCCATTCCTGATCTTCTGTCTAGATTTACTTCCATAGCCTTTTCCGTGTTTGGATATGACCTCAAAGCAGGGGAGGTTTAAAATTAGTTTTTTTTTCTTCCCCAGATGTGTTGTCGAGCTTCATCTCGATCTATATATCATTTAACCATAATTATCATCATTACTATTAATATAATCTCTGATACTGATATCTGAAGGTGTAAAATTGATATCCGCTCGAACTCCGGAAAGCCATCTTCCCAGGGAGTACCTCTCCTTAATGGAGTAGAGGGCTGAAGTCATTACCCGGCACCTGCAACAGCTTGAGTCATTTCTGCACGCCTTTCCGAAATGTCAGATTTTGTACATAGACATACGAATAAATACAATACCATCGTTGATTTTAAAACTGATGGGTCATTCCTAATCTATTGCTGCTACACAGTCTTTCTATTCCCTGTTTACAGTTTCCTCATAAACGTGTTTCATTTAAGAGATAAAATATCTCTTATACCAATCTTTTCTATCCCGGTTATTATAATAAGACCCCCCCCTCCAAAATATCTCTGTTGCAACAACCACCACACCTCACTGTTATTACTATATCATTTCTACCATTTTCATCTTATATAACCATCGTTATTACCATTATAACCACTCAAACTACCATTCTGAAGCATTATTATCCTTTTTAAACCGGTCCCCCACCCCAAATATTATAAACAAAACCAAAGTATTGTTTTTGTTACGATTATCAGTTTACTGCCATTCGTTTCCTTATCGATATTATTTGAATTGCCATTCTAATTGATTTCATTTTAACCAATGCTTATTTCTTCTGTTGCAATTACCATTTATGCAGTCCACTTTACGATTATTCTAAAACTAATCTAATCCTCTGTAAGCGTGGCTGTAATTATTATTTCCATAGCCACAAACCGTTGCAGTATTAGCAAAATCAGTGCGTCTGTAGCCGCTATCATTATCATCATCACCGCCTCGATCCATTTTCCAAACCACTGCAATCCACCACTACCATCAGACACAGTTATTGCCAACCCCAAAACTACAATCATCACTATCATCAGATTCCTCTCCCCACTTTGTCTGCGACCGACACAAACAGAACCACTATTAATACTTATACCTCTACCCCATGGCCGTCGATAGCACCACTATCTTGGACCATTCTCGGCTCCCCGTTGGATGGTCGAGTCCTGACAACAACGTACAGAATTAATTTCCAATTTTGCTCCGCAAGGAAATCTGTTTGAAATGGAAGAGGATATTAAGTTTCTAGGCTTAATTTCCCAGAAGACGTCTGTGGAAGTTTCAGGATCACCACAAGCTATAAATTGGTAACGTCTTCATTTCTTCCCCTCCAACTTTAAGCACCGCACTCATTCCTTTACTTCCCTGTGAAGCTGTCACAATCAACCTTTTACTGCCTTTCTTTCGAAATCAATTTCTTTTTCTGTCTTCCTTTTTTTCTTCTTTTTTTTCTTCTTTTCACCTCTTCTCCTTTCATACTTCTAGACTTCTTATTGTATATGTACAAATAATTCCGCAAAATATTTCCCGAATTCTTTCTATACATGCAAACGTTTCAGCAACAATCTCTGAAAAAAAAAAACGACCATTATGTCTTCAAACTCGTTTAGAAAAATAATTTCGCAATTTTTCCCATGATGTAACTGTTCTCCTTTTCTCAAAATCGCTTTCTGTGTAGCCGTCTGTATTACAAGCAGTGATTAAAAACACAACGACGAAAAACAAAAACGCAATGATCGAAAGGACGTGTGTGTGTGTGTGCATGCTTAAGTTCGGTAGCTATTCTGATAAACTTTTCAAAATTTTCAGCCACCTCGTGACAAGAAAACATTCTTACCAATGTACTGCCTGTGGTTGAGCTTTTGATGATGACACATGCAGCGACAAGTTTCTATGAAGTGAAAAGGTTCAGTGTAATTAGCGACACACAATATTCCTTTTGAATTTAGTTGAAGTGCGTGCCTTCAAAAAGCTGGTTGATAATTGCGGAGAATTTCTGAGCGTGTTAGTGCTTCAATATTGGCAATGTCGTCAAATTAATAACCTTGCACGCGTAGACCAGGTTCTGGACGGTCAGTATACTTTTGCTCAGACCGAGGCATTGTAATAAGAGCAGCAGTGGCAAACTGTGTGACTATCAGCATAAGAGCAGCAGATGAGATCAAAAAATGGAATATTGCTGCTATTTCTGATCTGGAGCAATCCAATCCTCTCTTTTCAGCCTGAACAAAGTTCAAAACCGGTTACACGGGTTTGTGGGAGATTAATTATTTTCAACCCTACAGACGAAACCCACAGACAAAATGTTGCTAACATTTCGCTACTCTATCGCCATTTTCATGACGACCTATATTCTTTAGTTCTCCCTCGTTCGGACATTTACAGCTAGGACCCGCTATGTAGCATACACAGGGTTGATTCATCCTTATTCTCTTCGTATTCCAGTTATAAGGAGAATGTTCCATTCCGATAGCTTCCACCCGAGAAGCGAGAGAATGTATCTCTGATCCCTAAAATCGTATCTTATTCAAGTCTGGTGTTATCTATCCTACATATCCTCATAATTTGCACATTCCACCTTTTACATATATAACACGATCTCACTCATTAACCCTTTAAGTGGTTATTGGGCCCTGTGAACATTTACAAAAAATTATCGGTTCCCCGTTACACTCCAGAAAGTATCTGACTCCTACTGCCATGCTATACCTTTACAATATCTTTACATATCCTCATAATCTATCATTCTTACAGCCCCATTCATTTATCTCCAAGTTTGAGTGGTTCTTGAGCCTTTTATTGGGTGAAAAATTTATAAAAATTAGTCGGTTCCTTGTCCGTTTCAGAAAGTACCTGACTCCTCCTGCCACGTTCTATATTTACAATATCTTTTTATATGCTCATAATCGATAATTAGTATATCGATAAACGTTCGAATTCAATAACCATCTACCTTGTGTGGCTCTCGGGCCTTGTATTGGGGAACAATATCGTAAAAAACAAATGTTGTGCACAAAGCAGGTTAGAACAAATGTGGCTCGAGATGCGTGAAAACGGAACGTTGGGAATTGTTTGTTTCTAGCATCATAACAGGTAAGCAGGTCTTTAGTCTAATTTTCATTTCCGTTGGGAACATCTCTACTGTGAGGGTCGCTTAGGCAATCGAATATAGCTTTATCGGCTTCAGCATTGAGAGCCTTCATACATATGGTGGTCATTTGCGCGTGCATTGTAGACTTCAGAAGTGACTTATTTTATCATGCATTCACCAACAATAAACAGGACGAATCCTTGGCATTATAGTGTGGGGGTGTCATAATTTACAACTCTCGCCAGCCGTGTTTGAACGTCACATTTTGTTCACGTTCCTGCAGCAGGAATGCAATGTGGTGTGCCTGTGAGAGAATTCCCATGCTGCTTAACATGCTCTCCCAAATATTCGCCAACTTCCTTGCTCGGCATGATCGGCCGACCTGCTCATGCATTCAACAATATAGGCTTGTGTTGACTCCTAATGAGGATATACAATGAGTTAATATAGAGTTCTGTTGATCGCCTCTTACATTGTAATTTGTGCATGTATTGATTTGTATATGTGGACATTCATTGCAATGGAGCTATATTACTTGTATGTTTAGTCTTGAGTGAATCAAATGTGCAAGTAACCTAACGTTTATCGATGCAAAAACGGGAGTCAGAGTGCCGCGTTCAAATTCTGAGTCCGTCTCGTTTATTTTTGTACTAATGCACTTGGAAAAGGCATGAATCTATCTTGCTCCAGCAATAGGGTAAATAACAGGGATCTTTTGCTTTGGGTAGTTGCCAGTTTGAGAGAAGGAAAACATTGAATTCAAAACGTCGTAAACAAGAGAACAGATTGATTCAGCCTTGATGCACAACCAGTTTAGGAGACAGAAAACTCTGAATTCAAAACCAGCTTGAAGAGTGATGAGTTCCATCAGGAGATATTACCCTCAACACACGCACTAATACGACGACTATAGTACATGTTTTGTAACAATGATCCTATTCAGTTACGGGGCTTGTGACAATGAAATTGAATCTGTAATTCAGGATGTGTAATTTTATGTTCCGTCAGTGTAGCTTGACTGTTTCATTAATATATTTTTGTCCTTATCCTCTTCCTTTATATTTCACTTTTCTCTTTCCTTTGTACATTTCGTGTGTCTTTTTTTCTACTTCCCCCCCTCTCACAACCTATTTCTTCTATTCATTATCTCCTCATTTGATTGTCTCAAGTAGCGTCTCTCTTTTCATTTTTTTTTCTCTGTACAATATCTTTCGTTCTGCTCTTTTTCTTTCAATCTCGTATCCCCACAACTCTTTTTTTTTTCTTCTTTTCTTTTCTTCATTCTACTTTTCATTCTTTTCCAACACCCCTTCCCTTCTTAACGCCGTCTTTATCTTAATTTGTATCCAAACCGAATTAGATTATAATGTATTGTTTTCGTTATAGCAACTGCACGCACGCGCAGGTCCAGATCAACAGCCCACCACATGAGACCATAAACCATTAATCGTCAGTGTTGTTTCTGATCAACGTGTAACTCACGTGGTTCCTTGTCATCGGCGCTAATTTAAAAGCTGAATTGACTGTCTGAAATTTATCATTACATCCTGCAGATATAGCACCATGGGAAGTAGAACGGATTAGTTTTCGAGAGGTTTATACTTCTATCTACAATTATTGTTTTCTTTCTTCTTTAACACATCTGAATGCATGGTCCTCAGCAAAAAAATAATCCCAAAATGCAAATTACAGTTCAAAGATACTAAAATCAAGCAGGTGCAGAAATTTAAATATCTGGGAAGTTCTCTAACAGAGATCCCATGACGTAATGGGGTAGTCAAAGACGAATTCCAAAAAATGAGCAAAGTATTAAGAGACAGGACAATTTTGTAGGAAATAAAGATAAGAGTAATGAACTGTTACGTGATATCTGTCTTCCGGTATGGCAGCAAATACTGGACAATCTCTTGATAGATGAAGAAGAGACTCGAAGTAACAGAAATGTGGTTCTACAGAAGGATGCTGAGGATACCATGAGCCGAACATGTGATCAACGACGAGGTTTTGGAAAGAATGGAAACAAAAAGGAAACATATTTAACATCACGAAGAGGCAGTTGAAATTTATAGGACACGTAATGAGGAAGGGAGCTTGGAAAATCTGATACTCACAGGACGGATAGAGGGACAGAGGAAAGCAACGCGTGACATACTTAATAAGGTTGATCTAATGGATGGAAGAACAGGGTTTGGGAGAAAAAAAACAAAAAGACAAAACTTATTAAGGGCTACAAGGGACAGAAGGATGTGGAGGGCCATGATCGCCTACGTCCTGAGGGAATAGAGCCTATAAAACAAGAAGAACAAAACTGAAACTAAAAGCAAAAAAAAAAAAGAAAAAAAGTTATGCTGTTCAGAACTCATTGGCATGTAGACAATGCCATATATAACCTAAATCCTCGTAATAACCTACTCAACAATCTTGTAGTTCTGGAGCCTTATCAGATTCTTATCTGATTCTTTCGTAATATGTTTGAAAGATTAAATGAAATGTTACTTGGATTCAGTGTATTAAATTATTTGATTATTTGATTTGATATCGTCCTCGACTCCTTCCGGGTAATGATAGTTACATTTTCGTTAGATACCCAATACTCCCAGGAGTCGCTTCTTCGACCAGTAAACACGCAATACTTCCAAAAATCGATTCTCCGACCATCAGACACGTAATACTCCCAGAAGTCGCTTCTCCGACCATTAGACTCGCAATACATCCGAGAGTCGCTTCTCCGACCAGTAAACACGCAATACTTCCAGGAGTTGCTTCGCCGACCATTAGCCACACAATAATCCCAGAAGTCGCTTCTCCGACTATTAGATACACAATACTCTCAGGAGTTGCTTCTCCAACCATTAGACACGTAATACTCCCAGGAGTTGCTTCTCCGATAATTAGACACATAATACTCCCAGGTGTCCTTTCTCTGACTATTAGCCACACAATAATCCCAAGTATCGCTTCTCCGACCATTCGACACGTAATACTCACAGGAGTCGCTTCCCCGACCATTAGACACGCAATACTTCCAGGAGTCGCTTCTCCGACCAGTAAACACGCAATACTCCCAGAAGTCGTTCCTCTGACTATTAGAAACACAATACTCCCAAGTGTCGCTTCTCCGACAATTAGACACGCAATACTCCCAGAAGTCGCTTCTCCGACCATTAGACACACAATACTTCCAGGAGACGCTTCTCCGACCAATCCTGTTTTACATAAATTATCTACCTAAGAGTATACTCCAATCATTTGTGGGTATATATACTGATGTTACAACGGTATTAGGGTGCATCTCTAAAAATCTAGACGACCAGAGATTGACTCTGATCTCTCCTCTGATCTAGCTTTAACGGTACAGTAGAGGAAAAACTAGTTGCTTACATTCAATCCTTCGAAAACCAAACTCGTTACATTCCATCAACCCAGATCTGACCCAGAACTCTCACCAATCTCAATGAACGAATGTTCCCGTACGATGGCCCGTGTCTTCAGCGACTATTGGGCCTCAGACTCAACCCAGACCTCAAATGAAACTCGCACACACGACCCAGCTCTAAAGATGCTGGGGAAATGGTCCGTTTCCGATACCGCTTCAGTAATTACCTGATTCCTTTTATCCTCTACCGTTAAGAGCCAGATCAGGTCAAAAATGGAGTACTGTTGCCATATATGGACAGAAGCTGCACAGTCTTCCATTTCCAGTCTCGATAGTGTCCAAAGGTGTCTCCGCGTCTTTATAGTCTACTCTTCAATCCCTTTCTCACAAATGAAACGTTGCAAGCTACTCGCTGTTCTATCGCTATTTCCATGGAAAGGATTCAGATGAACTACATTCCTTAGTTCCACCAGTTTTAACCTTCATAGATAAGACCTGCCTTGCTACGCACATTGAAGCGAACCATCCATATTCCATTCATATGAGATATGTTCCATTTGAGGAGCTTTTTCCAACGAACAGCTGCTTTGTGAAACCCTCTCCCAAGATGATGCTTTCCCGATCACTACAATCAAGTTTAGGGTTAACCGTTATCTTCCATACATATCTGCAAAAACTGTGAATCTTACTCTGTAATCCTCTGCCTTGAGTGGCTCACGGGCGTTGTACAGGTTGAACACCATTGTAAAAAAAAAAAGAAAAAAAAGAAGCTGTTCCAAGAAGCGCTGCCAGCTGCATACTCTCAGTGTTACCAGGTGTCCCCAATGCGTATTGCGAGACAGAAAGATTCATGGGAAAAATCTTCTTCTGCTTGTTGGGTATTGCTGAAAGTTGGGTGACAGTAATTTATTTCAACTCTCCAGAACTTCCCTCAGTATCCTCGCAGAGCACAGTAACTTCTATGACATAGCCTCAACCGTTCCTTTTATTTACAACTCATCTAACCCCGATTACAGTATTTTTTTCTTCTTTTTTGTGACTAATATTATAGTCCCAATTTTAATGTTCATATCCCATATTTTTTTCTGCTCCCGGGAAAGTTCCTGGTGTTTCTCAATTTCACACATCAGTCTGCTTTAATGAGTCATGCTCCGAGGCATTTAGGGTTGCCATACCTCATCACGCCCTCCTTGTCGCGTTATTCAGTATATCGGTCCCACTTGTTTTTACGTTTTTTCTCTATATATTACCACGTTGCTCATTTCACTCAAATCTCAAATTCTGATGTCATAACTGAAGCTTTGAACTTTGATAAATGATTTTTCTAATTCTTTCTGTGTGTCTGCGAATTTTGGACAGTGGCAACATAATTACAGTGAAGAATGCAAGCATTAGAAATGAGATTCGACAGAACCGTCTGAGGAGTCTCCTACGTAGACCGCATCACTAATGATGCAATGCGAGACACTATCAAAAAGAAACAGGCCGTTGGAAGACCTCATAACCACCGAAGAGAAGAAATAATATGGACTCGTCACAAGAGACAACGATCTTTCGACTGAAATCTTAGACAAAGGAAAAGGGCAGACAGATGTAAAAAAAAATATGGTCTTACCAAATAACTGAATGAACCGGAAGATCATTCACAGTGATTCAAATATTGGAACCCCACTGAGACGTATGGAGGGAGCTGGTCAGGTGCACAACAGCGCAGCAATCGATCTGACGACCACACCAGTCAGGAGAGAGTGAATTTTTACCGCGCTCGTCCTGGGTATGACGATAAACTATATCCGGTCGCAAGGCTTCTGACCGAGAGAATGGAGGTTTTGAGGCGTGTGGAACCACCTTAATTGTTGTTGTTGTTGTTGTTTCCAGGTAGCACCTATTAGGGTCCCAGCTATGGGAAAATTGTGAACCCCGCTAACAAAAAAAATCAACAGTACATTTTTATAATAAAATGAGCAACAATACATTTTATAGCGAAATATTAATCAATGCAACAGTAAAAAAAATATAAAAAATATATTTTTATAGTAAAATTATCAACAATGCATTTTATGAGCTACAAACTATATATATATAAAACATAACCTTTAACCTGTAAGTATAAAACTATGTACAAAGTATCTGTAGTTGAAAGCAAAAAATTACGTAGAAATATTTAGAGTTTGGAATTAAATAACCCATAGAGGCTGTTATGCCGCTAGACAAAATCAACCATTTCAGCGTGTCCACATCGCTACCGAATGTGACACAAGGTCAAGGTTTAAAGTGGGTTTAACGACAATACCGCCTCAACTCTTTCCCTTATGGGGACGCCTCAGGCTCCGGTTAATGACCCCAACCTCCTTCTGAAGGAGAGGTGCAGTCTGGAGAGAGATAGACCCCCCCCCACTGGTGCTTGAGCTTTATATTATTTTGAAAATACCCCGAAGCCGGGGCTGTCATCGGAACTTTCAAATTCTTTATAATTTGCAAATAATTTTATGCCATGAATTGTTTGACCTTTACATTTAGCCGCATCATAGCCATGACAAATAATGGAGTCTCTCTAAAATAAAACTCCCTATTTTTATATTAACTTTTGCTAAAGATTCTCCTCCGGCAATTTTGATTCATTTCCTAGTTTTTCATGAAGATAGCTCCGAGCTTTACCACTGATAAGTCAATTGTATCTATTTTGAGAAATTCATCTATCCATCTACAAGGGATATTACTGCACGGGGTTTGTTAGATTATTGCTTGATTTTTGTTTCTTTTCTCGTCTGTGTTTTCTTCATAATCATCTGGTCAGGTTATTTGTACTTTAACATCCTTTCCTTTCCTGTATCCTGCTTGTTATTTTCATAAGTTTCCCCTATTTTGTCTCCTATATTGTCTTGTTGCTAGGATCTCTGTCTTTCCCCCAGGCGGTCCCTGGTTCGATTCCCAGCATGGGGACTCTTCTTTGACGCTGCACCTTC